CTCCTGCACTTCCGTGCCAAGATCCATGTTGAATCCAGACAGAGAGATATCAGTCATGATGTACGCAGGATAACATATGCTTCCCTCTCTCTTGTTTCTGTTTTATTACACTCAGGCCGCCAGAGGAAATATTGCCGTATGCTGGGCTTATAATTTACCCTATCTCAGTACAATAACCAGTAAGTAGTGAGTTAGAACTTACCCGGAGCACACTTTCAATATATCCAATGCGAGATAACTCTCATTTATTTCATGTGTTAATAACAATTCTACTTACTTGCTGAGGATCTAGTGACTGAAATCTGAATGATCAAGTAAATGAAACATACATGTCATCGAAACTCTAATAATATGGTTCGTTGTGAACACAATGAAAAGGAAGAGTAGTCTGAGGGCGAATCGTATAATAACTGACAACCACTGAAACAGCAAAGGAACACAAAACATCACAGCATACTAACATAACATACTATCGTGCATTTCATAGCAATCGAATGTCTACATAAGCAAAACGCTTTGAACATTGAGTTGAACCAGTCATATATATATATATATATATTCATGGAAAATTCGCATAGGGATATATGAAAAATCAAAACAAAAGACTGAGCGAAAAGACTACTTTCAACGAATTTATTATCAGGCTGTACAAGCGTATATACATAGATTTTAAGAAATTATATCCGGTGAGGGAATTCCATCTTAGGTGTGAATAAACATAAAATAAAAATAGTAGTATGAAATGCAATTAAAATGCTTGTAATTATAATCATAGTTCAATGTGAAGTGGAAGAGCAATTAATGTCATGTGTAGAATAATTCATAGGATGTATAGAACTTGGAAGGCGTGTGAAATTATAGGATTAGTAGGCAAGCAGAATAAAATAAAAACGTTACGTAACATTGTGTGAAGTTTGATGACATAGTATTTAACGTTACAAAGCAAAACTGGCTTAGGATTACAAGTGGAACGAGTGAAATAATACCGAGGACAATTCAAAGTGAGAATAGTAATAGTAACCATTGACGTAATAAAGGAAAAGTATACAAATTGAATAAACAAAACGAAAAATAGGTAGAGCCAGAATATGATTTGGGATTACTACACTTTAGCATAGAGTGATTAAGATCATGAAAGCTGGACGAGTTGAACGAAATTTTTCCCCACATACAGAGATCTGGCTTTTCTCTTTCGACGGCCAAAGCTTCAGTAATACAGATGAATCGGCTCCAACTTCAACTGGCCATGAAACAGTCTACAAAGAAAGGACCCATTGCAATACCGCCATTCTGTCTATAGATTGTTTCATTGAAAGTAAAGTGTACATCTCAAAAGTAGTTCCTTCAAATCTGTAGTGGGTAGTCCTATATTCAACTTGTTGACTTCGACATATTTGCATATAAAACATATGGTTTCTGTCAGTGGGACATTCTTAAATAGAGCTTCTACATCCAAAACAACATATGTTTATTCGAAGCATTTGTATCCTGTATACGCTCGATAAATTAGGTGTCACGAAGGGAATGAATAGGTAGTTGTCCCCTGAAGGGTTCGAAGATTTCAGCTAACCACCTAGCTATTGAATCGAAAATATTGATCCGACCATGGCATGAGATGATACGTTTCACTGAGTGGACTCTCAAACTGAACATGTGTATGCAGCTTGTTGACATTGAGACTAACACCGCAAAACTTCAAACTCAAAGACAAGACTTCCATTTGCGATTTCAATAGGGATATAGAAGAGTGGCTGAACACTTATCTCTCAGAATTATCAGGAAATTTCCGAAAACATATGACTCATCAATTGATGAACGTCAGATGCTTAGTGAGTATGCCAACGCGGTCACCAACAAACAAACACTGTCTGTTAATTCTAAACTATCTAGTAGCCTTAAATCTATCGGTTGTTTTCGAAGCTGACCTACCACTCTGCCCTATCTTGGATATGTCCGGACCCCCTTACCATTCAATAGCTAGGTGGTTAGCTGAAATCTTCGAACCCTTCAGGGGACAACTACCTATTCATTCCCTTCGTGACACCTAATTTATCGAGCATATACAGGATACAAATGCTTCGAATAAACATATGTTGTTTTGGATGTAGAAGCTCTATTTACGATTGTCTCACTAACAGAAACAATATGTTTTATATGCAAATATGTTGAAGTCAACAAGTTGAATATAGGACTACCCACTACAGATTTGAAGGAACTACTTTTGAGGTGTACACTTTACTTTCAATGAAACAATCTATAGACAGAATGGCGGTATTGCAATGGGTCCTTTCTTTGCAGACTGTTTCATGGCCAGTTGAAGTTGGAGCCGACTCATCTGTATTACTGAAGCTTTGGCCGTCGAAAGAGAAAACCCAGATCCCTGTATGTGGGGAAAAATTTCGTTAAACTCGTCCAGCTTTCATGATCTTAATCACTCTATGCTAAAGTGTAGTAATCCCAAATCATATTCTGGCTCTACCTATTTTTCGTTTTGTTTATTCAATTTGTATACTTTTCCTTTATTACGTCAATGGTTACTATTACTACTCTCACTTTGAATTGTCCTCGGTATTATTTCACTCGTTCCACTTGTAATCCTAAGCCAGTTTTGCTTTGTAACGTTAAATACTATGTCATCAAAACTTCACACAATGTTACGTAACGTTTTTATTTTATTCTACTTGCCTACTAATCCTATAATTTCACACGCCTTCCAAGTTCTATACATCCTATGAATTATTCTACATATGACATTAATTGCTCTTCCACTTCACATTGAACTATGATTATAATTACAAGCATTTTAACTGCATTTCATACTACTATTTTTATTTTATGTTTATTCACACCTAAGATGGAATTCCCTCACCGGATATAATTTCTTAAAATCTATGTATATACGCTTGTACAGCCTGATAATAAATTCGTTGAAAGTAGTCTTTTCGCTCAGTCTTTTGTTTTGATTTTTCATATATCCCTATGCGAATTTTCCATGAATATATATATATATATATATATGACTGGTTCAACTCAATGTTCAAAGCGTTTTGCTTATGTAGACATTCGATTGCTATGAAATGCACGATAGTATGTTATGTTAGTATGCTGTGATGTTTTGTGTTCCTTTGCTGTTTCAGTGGTTGTCAGTTATTATACGATTCGCCCTCAGACTACTCTTCCTTTTCATTGTGTTCACAACGAACCATATTATTAGAGCTTCGATGATATGTATGTTTCATTTACTTGATCATTCAGATTTCAGTCACTAGATCCTCAGCAAGTAAGTAGAATTGTTATTAACACATGAAATAAATGAGAGTTATCTCGCATTGGATATATTGAAAGTGTGCTCCGGGTAAGTTCTAACTCACTACTTACTGGTTATTGTACTGAGATAGGGTAAATTATAAGCCCAGCATACGGCAATATTTCCTCTGGCGGCCTGAGTGTAATAAAACAGAAACAAGAGAGAGGGAAGCATATTTTATCCTGCCTACCTTATGCTGCATAGACATCTATTGGTGCCATTATATTTGGATAAGTGATATTTGGAAAATGAAATTGGGCGAAATTTTCAGACCATAAAGGTGGTGAATACGAGCGATTACACGAGCAAATACCAGAGATAACGAGTACGACAATTCCTCAGATCAGTTAATTTGTGGAATGCAGTTAAAGGGCTCAGACTTCACTGCATAAATCATGGCTACTGAAACATCCCCAAGTTACTGTAATTTACTAGTTATTTACAGTAGACTGTGCAATTGAGGTTGACTGAATATAAACGGTAGGAATGTTTGAAGATATGTGGACGCTGGAAATTACGATTATGCAGTGAATACAGTGCACCATTATTAGCAGTCATAACTCCACCAAGGTTATTCGAAATACCGTGTGGTTCAACCTGAAACATGAAAATCCCCTTCTACATAAATACTGGCTCATTTATACGCTCTCTTAAAGTATCGGAAGAAATAAAAATACGAGCATTAGGATTATCAAAACTGTCCATTGGTTCGATTTCTCAAGGGAGAACTTAATGACTATACGGAAAGAGGCAACAGCAAAGAATAGACGCGAACTTCAGGAGACCTTGAAACAGCCGATCAGATTCATCTAGGTGAAAAGCGGCACATAATTTATAAAAAAAAGTATACCTATGATATGTATGTAGTAAAAATGAATCAAACAGTTCACATATCTCTAATATGCTGTAAAACCCGTCCACACGTATGTCACCTGGCCAAGGACAGTACAAGTCGTGCCAAAGTGAAGCTATCATAGCCAGTCTTAGTGACCTGGGATAACCAATCAAACTCAGGTGCAAAAAAATCACATCGTTGACAAACACAGTGAAAAAAAAACATCGCAAACATGACATTACACCGTGGAAATGTAGCTTATGTGTTGTAATGTTTTTCAGTCATTACACTGATCCTCTATAGAGAAATCGCACTATGCGTGTTAGGCGTACTCATCCAGATAAGTGTAGGTCATGGTACTTTTAGATCTATTGGTACTTTAAACACTATTTTTCAACCTACGCCAAATCCTAACCTTAATCCTAGACCCTACACCTTAAGCTAAAACGCCATGGCCCTAAATAACCATAAATTTGCAGGAGTATTAGGCAAACAGATGGAATAATCTACCCTCTCCAAGTCCATAAGGACAAGCATAATTTGATTTGCAACTGCATTTCATAGCATGTCCTGTATTATTTAGGTTCTGGAAGGTCAAATTTCGAAATTCTTTAAATCTGGCTCTTATTCTTTAACTTTTCCCAAGTGGTTTATTATTCGTGACAACCAGAAAGACCACACTTTTACACTAGGGGTGTTTCGATATCTCAGGCATAAATAAAGAGTGACACTAATCTCAAAATTATACATGGTTATATTATTGGTGCTGTTGAGATCGTTATTTCTACAAGCTTGCCGCTAGTGTAAATAAAGTCCTATGAAGTTGTATTCAAACGCTTAGAAGACTAATACGCTTACATGTATTAAATTGCACAGATTATCAACAATGCTGTTGAGAAAACTTTCGACTTCATTTCTTTCTAGTCCTTTATACATGAAAGATTCAGGATGAACTCTGTCTGTGCTATATCTAAATTTGACAATATTTTAATTATAAACAAAACCAACTTTTCACCCTCTACATCATAATCAGGCTCATTATAATTGTAATCGTCAGATTCATCTGAGTCGAAGGACTGCTCGTTATCTGACTCTCCCTTCATCCTAAAAGGACTTCATCCATTAGACCTGGACATAGCGACCTAGACGTCAGATTTACCGGACAGCCTTAACATTGACCTACAATATTCAATATCCAATATCAATTTCAGGCTGAAATTATCCGTAACTTATCAAGGTCATTGGTGGAGTGAGACGCTCATAGGTCATTTTCGTCCATGTTAGTCAGCCATGTTGGATTGCAGTTCCGTAGCTGTTCGTGTACGCGTTTGTTGTTCCGTTTATCCTGCCGTTATACACGGCTTATCTTGTTGCGTATTGTTCACAAATGTTGCGTTTCGCCTCATTTTTTGTTTCCGTTGCTGTTAAAATGAATTATTTCTTGGTTTGGAAAGTTTTCACTACCAGGTCAGTGCATTCATTTCGGTGTAATTGTTTCATACCTTGTATTTATGCGGCTTTCAGTTTTTTTGTTGGTTTTCAGCTGTTAATGAATTGGCAATGTGTAGAAGTTTTGGAAATCATGCACATGAAGATGTTCGGCTGGTAGAAGCAGTTGTTTCCAGTCCATTTGTTGGCTGCAGGTTTTGTTGCTGGCTCATTTGGTTATTTAACATGTAGAAATCTGGGAAACTAATGTCTTTCACGTTTATGTCTACAGCATGCAACAATTTACCAGTAAATCTGGTGAGGAGGGCACGATGAAAGTTGATATTAGCAAGGTTTTCAAAGAACACAATCCAGGAGAATTTAGAACCTGAGTTGAAGTTGAAAAAGCTTTGAAGCTTTTTGAGAATGTGAATATACCATCAGTGTGTCTCCTGTCACTTAAAAAAACGTATTGTGAGAGAATCTAAGTCAAATAAGGTTGGGCCGCATGAAAAGTATGAATCTGTTGTGCTTGTATGTATTATAGAGAACTAAAACAAACTGGAAACCCTAAGGGTAAGTGTTACTTATGCTTATTATGGCTTGGTGTACTAGATCCAAATACATGAACTAGGACTGCCCGTGATAGAGCCAGTGTTAACATCCATTCGATGGGTTGCAAAACGGTTTTCAAAGCGGATAAAATACGACGATCTGGTGAGTGTACGATCTATCCCAGTTAAAGGTAAGAAATTAATTGGGAAGAATGACATTTCGGGTTGTTATCTACAATCGGTGATTTCCTCGAAGTTGTGATTTTTCCGTGGCTATAAGTACTGATGTCTATGGTCTTTAAAAAAACTAAATAAATTTTCCTTGAACCAGTAGTCTTCTTTTCTTTGGCGAAATATCCGTTGATACGATTATACGATTAGGTAGCAAAGTAGGATGTTCTGTGACTGAGAATCGTGGTTGTTGTGTTTCTGACTAATTTCGCGCATCTGACTGTTATAACCGCATGGATATAGCGTTTTCCTCATGGTACATTATGATATCGAGAAATCATAAGCCAGCTGCCATCGGTAAATTTATTTTTACTTTTTAAATCACTGCAAATAGTGAATCGTTTGAGGTGATAGGGTGGATACCTCTGAATGTTTTTGTGGAGACTAGGGTATATTTAATTTTTTGGAGTAGGAGACGATCTTTTCACCAAGAAAGTTCTCAGAATTTCCGCTTTTACTTCGTTATTCAAAGATAACATGAAGTTGCACACTAAGGTAGTAGCTATAGGAGATTACTTTCAGCGAAAGCCACTTTAGGGTAACTACGTAGCTTTAGGTAATGCGTCATAGAAGTAAGCATCGTAGGTTAGTTGTGTCTGAATGTATTAAACGTTGTATAACTGATCAAACCACAGTTCTTACGTACGAGTTACTTTTATAAATAATGAATGTACCGTACAAGCGTTTACCTTGATTTGCATACCTAGCTCATAAACATTATGCCTGCATGTGGCATACATTTAGGGCCAATACGCTGTGATGAATTAGTCCGAGATACTTAAAGTCAGACTTGATTTCCATATCACTGTTATCAATTTTGCAACGGTCATAGGAATTAACACCACCTAACTTTCGTTTACATCGGAAACTGAAAATAACAGTCTGACATTTCGAAGGATTTAGTTTAAGAGCATTTTCCCACTCCTAATAGAGAGCTGTTCATCTTAGTACAGTGTAGCTGGCAGTTAACAGACATTGAAATAGTTAGATCGTCCGCGTGCTTGAAAAAGTTCTTTTCGTATGCTTTCGTGCATTAAGTTCGTCAAACAAAAATGCAGTTGGTAATGGACGACTTCCCTCTGACCTACAGTGTACTGCTTTCTCCCTGATAAATAAGAATGAAGCCGTCTAACAATCCAACACTCACTTTTAGTTTCAGCAAGCTTATCTAACAGAATATCTCTACGTACTGAGTTGAAAGCAGATGTGTAATCTAGGAAGGCGCAGCGAATTTAGCCCCATTGTCTATACTGGAGGAAATGTTGTGAAGCAAGACTGCAGCTGCATCTAAAGTACGTCTACTGTGTTTATAGGAGAACTGTTTGGGATCGTTAAAGGCTCTAAATGAATTTTGGAGATTAAGTAAGAGTAACTTTTCCTTAGTTCGTATATACGTTATTTGATTCGAAACAAAGGAAGCAGGTCTTATTAACACTTGTAACACTAGAAAGTTTGGCATTTTCGGGAGAATTTATGAAAGACTTGTTTAGCGTACACACACCAAATGAATAGGGAACACTGGAGGTAATTAGTTGCATACAGGTGTAGGTTATTTAATATATATAAAGTAGATATGGAAATACCGCAGTTGTTGATCATAGAAATGATGGATATTAGATAACATCCTATGATTCAACAGCATATTAGAAATAAATAAAGACTGTTTCTTAGCTCATTATCAAGTGAACAGTCTATCTGATGATGTCACTGCATATTAACAGATTAGTGAAGCAGCTATCAAGCCTAAGTTACTTCATTTACTTGTACCACATACTTGGCGTTTAACAGTATACAGACTTGCAACTGTCTAGATAAGGAGACTTTAGTGCATTGAACAGTACAGAATTATTATTCAACTTGCTAAATCCCACTTAGCTTTTACGATGTACTATTGTGTAGAAACAGACACGAAATCCTATTAATGACTAAAGTAACAGTCTCGTAATACTACAGTAAATCTCCATCCCACTAACTAAGCTTAGCGTTTATTATTCCTAATTCACTTATTACAAAAGCACATAGTATAGCGACTAATTGAAAAAGTCCAGGGGAATTACAAATCAAGAGTATATTAAACACTTGGTTAATTTACAAAAGAAAATCCTGATGAAGGGTTTTAACGTTAGTTTGACCGAATGATATTTCCGCTGATTTCATATTCGACAACCTCCGTATACCTGGAAAAATAAAGTACATGTAAGAACTAGCATAACATGAAGTTAACAAGAGATAATTCTACATATTAGCATATACTATGATTACACTGATTCTGTTAACACTAAGTAATATCTCATGCAGACAAATGTATCTGTAGTCTACAGGTGATATTTATGGTGACGCTGTATGCATAAATAGACATCATATGTTTTCCTGTATTTGAGGATTATACGCAAATTTCAAGACAATCTCCGGAACATCCATACTATTGAGGCGTCATTCTTTCAACAAGCTTACTTGCAGACCAACTTCACGCTAAATACTTTTACATGAAATGAAGTATTGCAAATGTATAACTTAGAAATTAATCCACAATCTCAGTAACGTCTAGTCCACAAGGTTTTGTGAATCCTACACAAATCACATTTTCACATTTAGGAGACTATAGGCATCAAATATAAGCTGAACATGCCTGAACTCCAAACAGCTATTTGCAGTGTTAACGACATAGAGAAACACTTAAACTATTGTAAAGTACACAGACCTGTTGTGTTGATGAGGATAATAATGTCATATAATGCAAACTAGAAAATTAAATCGTCACAGCGCATCTGTACTGCTTTGTCTAAATGGAAATCTCAGGAGAAATTCATCTCCATTATTGATGATCAAAAATATTGCAGCATTAAGTATACAGTCAGTGGAAATTGTAAAACAGACAACAGATTCATAATAATGATAATAAAGCTGAATAGATTCAGTTCTCATAATCACCGCGACTCATGCGTGTAATCACACCGTGTAATGATTTAGTGCATTAATTGGAACAACAAGGAAACTTAAACGAGTAATTTCCTTTTCCACTGCACTGTACTTGCAATAATCGTGACAACCACCTTCGTTTGTTATCCTATCAGTCAGCTAAGTAGACAATGGCACAATATTATTAAAGTTGAGATATTTTTGTACATTTAATTCACATAACCCATAGCACACTGCACCAATCAGTGCCAATATACATGAAATCCACTTAGAGATAACCTTTCAACTTACCATAATTCCTGTCCAACCACAGATAGAGTGAAAAGCACATCTAAATGATAACTTAGGTTCCCACAAACGATTTTGATAGCATCTGCAGGTGATTTCCAAGTACTGAGAGAATTATTTTGTCAAAAAAGACTGTTCTTCACACGAAAATAGGCTGTATTGATATCCTGTGACATGATCATGTCATCAAGACTTCGAAGTCTTCATTGGATGATACTATGCCGAAAGGTGCAGCTTCTACATGGAGTAAATGATTTGTGTAAATGGTATTACCGGTGACTCTAAAGAATAGCGGCCCAAACCGAAACGACCTTCGAACAAAAAAGTGACCTTGAGCAAGGAATCAGCTGACTGTATCATTTTCGGAAGTAATCATGGATGTTTTCGATTACTGTTTGGATAACGGACTCATAGCTTTGTCGAAAATTTGCCAGTGCGGAGGAGTTATGCATATACAAATATAAGCAGAGGCCATCGATGGCTTTGTATACAGATGTATTGAGTGCCGAAGGAGGAAATCGGTTCGAGATGGTTTGTCGTTGTTTTTTAGTTTACAGATCCCTTAGGAACTTTTTTCTCTAGGTCTAAACTACCGTTAACGAAAATCTTAATGATATGTAACTTCTGGGTCCTCAAAAGACCAGTTACAGCTACGGCTTACGAAACAGAAAATTCAGAGGTGT